GGTCAGTGCCGGTAAGCATGTTGCATCGGCATTTGCAGTGTTTGTGCCTGTTCAGTTCCCTTCAAGTTTTGTTGCTTGAAATCCGGGAATTGTTTTGTCACCTGTGTCCGTGTGACTGTTTTGTTGACAACGAAAAGAGCGACATCCCTGACGGAGTCTGTTTCACCCTCCGAGCCCGAGCACCTGCGAGGTGGTCGTGATGGTGGCGATGGCCTGGCCATGTGCATCAAACTAGCTATCAGTCGTCATGCAAAGCAGGGCATGCTTGTGTCGAAAACATTTTCCATGGCCTTCACCTAGCCTTTATTGAACGAAGAGCTATGCGCTACCGTGACTATAGTGTTTGCCTCGCCCGAAACTTACGACAGAAGCAGAAGAAGGTGCCTGCGAGCGGGCGAGCACCGATGCCGAGGATCGAATCTAACAAAAACTTAGATACGTTCAGTCTCGTGGTCCTGGCCTTGCACAGTGGTTGCATAGCTCATGTCCACTGTGCACGTGGTGCTGCGTGGCAGGCCCAGCACGCGACAGTGTACCCATAACAATTCGGCGCCGTACCAAGTCGATGTCTGGGGGAGCTCCTTCCTGCTCGGGCCTGCCGAAAGGTGGAAGTCAACTGGGACGGTGCCTTCACTTGACGCCGACTAAGCCCCCTCCACTGGTAACAGAGCTAGAACTGCGTGAAACTAACATCTCCCAAGAATTGGCTCCTCATGCAAACATCCGGATCATCCGGTTGATTCTGGAAGGATACCGTTGACAGGAAACTGCAAGACTCACCAATGGTTCGAAGATCTCCAACCACAGCACTTCGATTCTAAGCATCCTCGCTTGACGTGTACCTCCCGCTCAGTTGGTTCTGCGATTTGCTTCGTGCTTGTGTGCAGTGCCGTGTTGAGCGAGGCTTGTCACGACCTGCCTTTGAGCGAATTCTTCTGAGTATCTCAACACCAATATGCCCCCGGCCCGGAAAACACACAAGCTCGGAGCAAAGCCCACGCGAAAGCTGTATGCAGCCGTCTTCATGTCAGACCCTATAACAGAGGACCGGCATGACTCGTTCTGCACGGTCCGGACTTAGCAAAGCTTGAAGCGTAGTTGGTTCCGTGCTTGTACTAGTGCGCTGTATAAAGTCGTGGACACCAGTTCCTGAACTGATGTTTCACATGATGTCGTTGCATTACCAACGCCCCAAAACGAATGGGGCCGGCGCCGTCTTGTGTGGGCAGTTACTGGAATGCAAGCTGACTTTACAAGATCTGTGCTCTTCATAATCTCGCGCCAAAAAATAACCAGAACGTAAACAAAATTCCTCAGGAGCCCGGTAGATGCACACCACAACACCATACTCAGGCTGCGACAGGCAACGGTGCAGTGGTTGGCAGAAGGTTCCCAAAGGCCATTCGACGCACAAACTCGGTGGGCAAAAGAACGTTCTTTGAGAACCACCCCCAGACACGCTCGTAGCCACTGGAAGGAACTCGGCCTGACAACTGATCTAATGCTGATCTTCTGGCAGAAACACATGCGTCAAGGCGGCCCATCGAACGCCGTTTAGACCCACGGACGGATCTGCCCTACATGGAATCTAGTTCGGGGTTGTCCGTGCGAGCTGCCAAAATCTGAAGGCATGAACATGTGCGGGCTCAGACATTCGACAATGCCGTGTCACGCCTAGAGGGCTAAAGACAACAGTTTCAGAGACGTGCTCATTGGATATGGCTGATATGGGGGGGCACACAAGCGTCAATGACTCCAAAGCACGAGATGCTTGAACTTCAGACAGTGATTGGAATGCCGACCAACAGCAAACTCAGTGCAAACCCCCTAAGCAATGAAGCTCGAAAGCCACACTCATACGGTATAATATATGTAAACATCTTAGCCTTAGACCCAAAAGCTCGCATCATGCGATGTTTTCCATTCTGCAGCCAAAACATCCAAGCTGGATGTCCTTAAGATCGCATGGGAACTCATACCTCAAGCCAAGCCACCCAAGGCCCCTGCAAATTGGTGTCGAATCCATTGGCCAAGGGCTGAAGCAAGACCAGACTTGGAAACTTCGTCAGCCCCATGAGCCTGCTGCGCCGAGGCGTGGTCGCTGCAG